AAGGTCCAGTATACGGGCGAAGCGAGCATCTAGGCTGGGGGCCAGGGGGCCACCAAGGGCCGACGGTAAATATCCGTAGCTTCCAGGGGCCCCTGGAAGCTACGGATATTTTTACGTAGTTTGGTAAATTTTATAAGTTATTTTATAGGCATCAAGCTACTGTAATATGATTTCATATTTGTTGTAATTTAGTGGCAGATCCTGGAATTGGAAATAGAAGGGCCCAGGGAGGGTACTTTCACAGATAGAAGACCTATACTACCTCAGCCCCACCATAGTTGGGGCTGAGGTAATAAATGTTGTGATTATGGCACCTCTAGATGGCCGGAAATTGCACTTCCAGACATAAAATTTAAATATAATTATCTCTATATCTCCATTTTTTATTGAACAATTTAGCGGGGTAGGGGCGGGCCTGCTGGGTCCCTTGACTCCGCCACTGGGTTCTCCAGCAGACGGAGAATCTCTACCACCTCAGTCCCACCATGGTTGGGTAAGAAAATTTGTGATTATGGCACCTCTAGATGGCCGGAATTTACACTCAGACTTAAAATTTGAATATAATTTCCCTTATATCTCCATTAAAAAAAAAAAAAAAACAATTGAACAATTTAGCCCACCCCCCAACCCTTGAACGCGCCACAGGTTTCCGAACAAAGTCGAAGTCGCGATTGCTTCCACGACCTCAATGGATTATTTATCATGAGGGTTATCCTTGATATGGGTTCCCTGTCGAAAACTTCACTTTTCCCCTGACGGATAAAAATTACCCTTCTATGTAGCCCGGAAATCATGATACTCCAACCGTGGCGGGTCCAGGAAGTCGAAATAGAGGGGTTCCATGGAGGGTTTTCCGCAAATAGAATGTCCACCCCGCCTTAGCCCCACAACTGTTATGGCTCAGGTAAGAAAAATTTATGATTATGGCACCTCTAGATGGCCGGAAATGGCACTCTCGGATTAAAAATTGAATACATTTTTGTCTGTTTTCTCCATTTTTTTTTTAATTTAAAAAAAAAAAAAAAAAAAGGAGGATGGGGTCCCGTGCTGATTCGGTTCCCCATTGAATCTGCCACTGTTCAATATAACACTTGACATAACCTATCATTTTGTTTCACAAATGATTAATGTCAAGCGAAAGATTTTTTATTCGAAAGATTTTTTTTACATCCACATTAAGTGTACTGTAAATTATGTAGTTAACCTTCAGAAAACTTTATTTTAGAAAATGGCCTCATTAAGTATATTATTGTTTTCGTTAAATTAGATGGAGTTTAAATGTGGTTATATTACTGTAGTTTTAAGGTTTACATATTCGTGGTTAGCATAAAGAGAACTAGAACGTCGCTCCATTAACAGTGTCTACCTCTCCCCATACGCCTACATACAGAATTCACGAATGCAGGCGATTTTTTCATGCTCGAGGGTGGGTTTCAATGAAACTTTACAGACGCACGTATACAGACGTCAATCATCATTTGGTTGCTCAACTCAAAAAGAGAACCTGTAATGTTCGTTAGAAAATGAGAAAAAAATCTATATTTTATAATAATAATAATAATAATAATAATAAGTCAATTTATAATGCGCAAATAAACAAGGTGTAAGCACCAAATAATAATAATAATAGGCCTAATAATAATAATAATAATAATAATAATAATAATAGGCCTAATAATAATAATAATAATAGGCCTAATAATAATAATAATAATAATAGGCCTAATAATAATAGGCCTAATAATAATAATAATAATAATAATAATAATAATAATAATAATAATAATAATAATAATAATAATAATAATAATAATAATA